ATAACACAGATTTTTTCTGGGGGGGGGGGGGACATTCCTGGGGCTTGAACTCAGGGTCTGGGCACTGTCCTGGAACTTCTTTTGCTCAAGGCTAGCACTCTACCACTTGAGCCACAGTGCCACTTTGGCTTTTTCTGTTTATGTGGTACTGAGGAACCAAAACCAGAGCTTCAGGCATGCTAGGCCAGCTCTCTACCACTAAGCTACATTCCCAGCCCTATACCATAAACCTTAAAGTAACAAAGGGGTACACTTAATAAGTCACAGGAGTATAGAATCCAATTAATCTGAAAGAATTCAGAAACACAGGCAATAAATGAGATGAGAAACAAGTAGAAAGCAACCTAACCATTCCAATTACATTAATAGACATCCCCAGTTGGAAAGTGTTAAACTGTGTATAAAGGGATATGCTTGTGATCCCAGCCACACGAGAGGTTAATCAACTGTGATCCTAGCAAGGCTTTCCTTGGCTTTTTCCTTCGTTTTATCCCTTGAACTTTTGGCTGCACTGCTCTTTTGCTTGTTGCTGAGCATCATGAAAGCTATGATAACTTTCCAAATTGGTCTCTATCATGATCTATTATTTTGTTATGGGACACTTTTGTGACAAGGACTCACTATGTATGTTGGCATTCTACCACGAGAGCACAACTTGACTTCTGGCTTTTTGGAGGTTAACCGGAAATAAAGTCTCATGGACTTTCCTGCTCAGTCTAGCTTCCAACTGTGATCCTCTGATCTCAGCCACCTTAGTAGCTAGGATTATAGGCATGAACAACCTGTATGTGGCCCAGGCTTGCAATTCTCTCGCCTCAGCTTCCCAAGTAATGGGAGGTTTGAGGGTTTGAGGACAGCCTGGACAACACAGAAAAACCTTGTCTTAAAAACAAAACATTTAGAATGATTAAAAAAGACTTGCAGGCTGGACACTGATGGCTCATGCCTATAATCCTAGCTACTCAGGAGGCTAAGATCTGAGGCTCGTGGTTTAAAGCCAGCCTGGACAGGAAAGTCTGTGAGATTCTCATCTCCAATTAACCACCAGAAAACTGGAAGTGGTGCTGTGGCTCAAGTGGTAGAGTGCTCACCTTGAGCTGAAGAGCTCAGGCAGGGACAGCTCCCAGGCTCCAAAAAAACCCCCAAACAATCAAAAAAAAAAAAAAAAGACTTGCAACTATGCTCCTTGCAAGTAATAAGACATATATAGCTACAAAAAAAAAAACCATCAATGGCTAACACAAAATACTAGTCCTAGCCAAAGCAATATTAAACATGTAATATTAGAGAATGGATGGGTATGGGTGTGTATAGTGTTTGCCTAGCATGTGCAAGGCCCTGAGTTCAACCTCTTAGTACCACAAACAAATTAGCCATGCAGTCATTACTTTGCTTAGAAATTTCTTCCACCAGGTATCCTAGTTCATTATGCTTAAATTCTGCCTTCCAAAAAACACCTTGGACATCAACACAATTCAACTGTCCTTTACAAGTTAGCATCAAAGATGGCCGGCCTTGATTTCAGCACAGAAAACCATGTTGTTTATTTGAGAGCTCGCCAGAATGCCCTTTACTATCATTATTTTTTTCAACCTTAGTCTCTAGTCTTTCCCTCTATTTCTAAGCTTTCATCGAAAGTACTCTTAATGCAGTTTACAGTAATACAGGGTTTTTTCTCAAATTCCACCAGACTCAGCTAGTTGCACGGTCACCCCACATCTTCAGGTATTACTGTCACAGGAACCATATTCATACCTTGTGTGCTACTGTAATAAGGTAACATATTTGGTAACTCATATAAAACATGTATTTTCTTACCATTCTGGAGGGCAGATCAAGAGGCTAGAATCAGGTGTAAGGTACCTTCTGCATCATCTCATGGTGGAAAGCTGAAGAGCAAAGAGCTCAAGAAAGCAAGAGAAGACTGAATTTGTGTTAACAAATCCATTCACATAATGAACCCTCTGCTGTAATCTCTAAGCTTTCTTTTTGCTTATTGGTGCTGGTCTTAGGTGCTGTCTCTGAGCTTTTTTGCTCAAGTGCTTTACCAAAGATCTATTTCTGGCTTAATTGGAGAGATTGGTAGCTAATTAAAAAGTCTCTTAGACTCTTCTGCCAGGGTTTTGAACCCTGATTCTCAGATCTCAATCTGCTGAGTAGCTAGGGTTACATGTCACTGGCACTCAGTCTCTAGACTTTTTTTCCTGAGCTAGGGATTGAGCCTAGAGCCTTTTGACTGCCAGGCCAGCACTCTACTGCTCAGCTGCATTTCCCACTCTTGGCCGCCTCAGGTCTTCTTAAAGGTCTCACTTCTCAAGTCTGTTGCACTGAGGGTGAGGGTGAGATGGATTAAGTTCCCAACACATCAACTTTGGGAGACATACCCGAGACCAGAACAAGCACATTATGGCTCTTTTAGTAAGTGCATACAGGTTTACAAATGTGAGTTAGCTGTTCTTTTTACATGGTGACATTCTCTTTAATCTGTCTAGAGTCTGCTTATATACTAAGATACTTACGCTGGACTTGTTATGTTCCTGGCTTATCTTTTCTTTACCTGTTTACACAAGTCACTGTGCTATAGCTATGTTATAAACTAAAAGTTGCACTGACTACTCCCTCTTGAAATTACACATCACAAATCAATGGTAAAACAGTTCTTAAAATGCAAAATTGCTGGTTAAAAACAAAATGAAATTTGAATAGAAGAGCTGAGAGAGTATCATAAGTAATGAACTTACCTCTCAGATAAACTTGGGAAGATTTAAATGAATTAAGCAATGAGGTCGTCACGGAAATAATTAAAGTAAGAAGTTTGTTTTTGTGTTGGTCTGGGGCTTGAACTCAGGGCCTGGGCACTGTTCCTGAGCTTCCTTGCTAAAAGTTAGTGCTCTACCACTTGAGCCACTTTCAGCCTTTTCTGAGTAGTTTATTGGAGATAAGAGTCTCATGGACTTTCCTGCTTAGGCTGGCTTCAAACCACAATCCTTACATCTTAATCTTCTGAGTAGCCTTCTGAGTCATGAACTATATACTAGATTTTAAAACTAATTTGTCCTTGAACAACAGAATTTAGTCCATTAACATTGCTTATGACTTTGAGATATTTATACTTAGCTTCTCATCTAATTTTTTTAGGGTTTTTTTTTTTTTTTTTTTTTCAGTTGTGGGGCTTTAACTCTGGGCCTGGGCGCTGTCCCTCAGCTCTTCAGCTCAAGGTGAAAACTCTACCACTTGAGCCACAGCACCACTTCCAGCTTTTTCTGTTTATGTGGTGCTGAGGAATCGAACTCAGGGCCTCATCATTCCAAGCAAGCACTCTACCACTGAGCCACCTTCCCAGCCTCATCTAACTAAAAAAACAAAAAAACAACCAATTGTTCTTTATTTCCCCATTTTGTCTTTCATTCCAATCCTCAACATTATCCATATTCTGCATAGGAGCTGGAATGTAAAGGCTGGGAGTGGTGGCTCACGTTTGAAATCTCTGCCCAGAAGGTAGAGATCAGGAGGATAATGGTGGCTCAGTCCCACAATCCTACCTACTCAGGAGACATAAATAGTAGGACTGTTGTTCAAAGCCAGACAGGGCAAAAAATTAGTGAGGCTTCATCTCAAGCAATAATCTGGGACTGGTAGCATGCGCCTGGTATCCTAGGTATGAAGAGATGTAAGCACAATTGTGGTTCAGGTCAGCTGAGGCAAAAAACTTGAGGCCATATTTGAAAGATAGGTAAAGCTCTGTCTGAGGACCTGGCTCAAGTGGCAGAGCATCTGCCTAGCAAGGGCAAGTCCCTGTGCTGAAATTCGCATACCACACACATACAAAAAAGTATTATACATTTGAGTAGTACAATCACTACTTACAGTAAACTCTCAGATTGATTTATTCTTGTTTTTAGATCAAAAGGTAGAGATAATAACAGATAATATATACTTTGGCTTAAAGAAATTTCTTTCCAGGGGCTGGGAAGGCGGCTTAGTGGTAGAGCGCTTGCCTTGCATATGTATGAGGCCCTGGGTTTGATTCCTCAGTACCACATAAGCAAAAAGAAAAAAAGCCAGAAGTGGTGCTGTGGCTCAAGTGGTAGAGTGCTACCCTTGAGCTGAAGAGTTGAGGGATAGCGCCCAGGCCCAGAGTTCAGACCCCAGGAGTGGACCCCCCCCCAAAAAAATTTCTTTCCAGTATGCAATTGATCTTGATTTTGGGGGGGGGGGGGGAGTGCTTGAGCCACCATGCCACTTTCGGTTTTCGTCGGCTAATTGGAGATAAGAGTCTCATAGAAAGTGGCGCTGCAGCTCAAGTGGTAGAGCACTCTCCTTGAGCTGAAGAGCACAGGGATAGCCCCCAATCCCAGAGTTTAAGCCCCACTATCGAAAAAAAACAAAAAAAAAAAAAACAAGAGTATCATGGACTTTCCTACCTGGGCTAGCTTTGAACCTTGATCCTCAGATCTCAGCCTCTTGAGTAGCTAGGATTACAGGTGTGAACTACCAGCACCTGGCGCCTGGCTCCCCCTACCCTCTGCGTCCTGGGGCTTGAACTCAGGGACTGAGTACTGTCCATGAGTTTCTTTTGCTCGGGGCTAGCATTCTACCACTTGAGGCACAGAGCCACTTCTAGCTTTTTCTGTTTATGTAGTACTGAGAAATTGAACTCAGGGCTTCATGCATGTAGGCAAGCACTGTACCACTAAGTCACATTCCCAGCCCACAATTGATATTTTGTTCTTGAAAATGTGAAGTAACATGAACCGCTTTATCAAGTTTTAGAAATAAAATGTTTAATATTCTAAAAGTATATAAATGAAGTATATAATATACTAAAAGTATATAAATTATGTATATTCTTATTTCTAATTAAATCTAGGTCTAGAAAATTCCCATTCCAAGGCTAAAGCATTACATTTAAATTCCCTCAATATAATTATTACAAATCAAAATTCTTTTAAGTTCAAATAGTGAAGCTTCCATTCAATGCATACTACAATAAATCAATGTTTTTGTTTAAATGGCAAGTTTATTTGCTCAGTTCATCAAATAGGATGCAAGCACTGTCATGACAAATATACAGAAATATGTAGATCAACATAAAACAGTAATTTAGTTTAAATGGAGGGAAATCTTTTTCATGTTATGACAACATACTCCCAAGAAGAATCTCTTCTTTAGTTAATTATACATTTCAACAAAATAAGGTTAATGGATTAAGTGGAAGTCAGCTTGTCATTTCTGCTTAAAAATAAAACTCCAACTCTATTAATCCATGCCAGTTAAACACTATAACTAAAATTTACAAATAAGCGCAAAAGGAGATTAAGCAGTTAGTTACCTTTTCTGTATGAACAGTCCAGAGAAAAATAGTTACTACAAATACAGCAGGCAAACTGTTAGACTGACCCATCTACAATGTAGTGTACTAAATTTCAGTCTCAAATTGTGCTAAATGCTCATCATTAGTATGGCACATTTTGGTCCATGATGTGGTTTAATGCCGAGACAGATCACAATTTGTTACAGAAACACAAAGATTACTGTTGTCTTTTTGTTTGGTATTAAACTCTCTCTCTCTCTCTCTCACACACACACCCACACCCACACACACCCACACACACCCACACATACTCACTCACTCACTGAAAATCCAGGTATACTTCCACATACAAAGAAAGGTTTTCTCAGAAGGAATTTACAGGAAGTAGTCTGGGGTGCGCCTGGTAACATGAGGCTCTCCACGACGAGGCGCTGGGTCAAACTGAAGACTACAAATGACAAGAGAAAGAAAATCATTAAAGCTTTTGATTTTGCAAGAGTACAAATGAGCAAAGAGCAAGACATGGAATAGAAATAGTGGCTCCCATCACTACTACACTGCATGTGGCTGGAGCAAGTCGATGAAGGTGGTCTGAACTTACTAGCAATATTAGTAGTATCAGCTGATGAAGCGGCATGACTGACATGCTTCTCTCATTCCTAATTTTAGAGAAAAAGAGCTCTTTCAACATGATGGTGCTAAGTTAGAGGTGGGTTTTTCAGATATCCTTTAAACTACTTGAGTAAGTTTCTTTTATGACAAATTTGTTGAAAAATACTGAGGTTTTATTTTTTTTAGGTTTTTTTTTTTGGGTCCGGTCGTGGGGACTGAACTCTGGGCCTGGGCACTGTCCTTCAGCTCAAGGCTAGCACTCTACCACTTGAGCCACAGCGCCACTTCCGGCTCTTTTCTTTTCTGCTTATGTGGTGCTGAGGAATTGAACCCAGGGCCTCATGCATGCAAGGCAAGCGCTCTACCACTGAGCCACCTTCCCAGCCAGATTTTTCATTTTTAAAAAACTTTTATTTGGAAGAAATAGTTGTGCTGTCAAAGTTGATAGAATTCACAAACTTTATAGACCATGATAATGACAATTTGCCTTGTGAAGGTAAAAATGTGTTTGTGACATATCACTATCCCACAATACTGTGAGATTTGTGAAATTTATGTAATCACTTAATCTCAATAAAAATTACTTAAAAAAGAAAACAAAAAGCTTTTTTATGTCCGTCCTGGGGCTTGAACACAGGGCCTAGGTGCTCTCCTTGAGCTTTTTTACTCAAGGCTAACACTCTACCACTTGAGCCACAGCTCTGCTTTTAACTTTGCGGTGGTCAACTAAAGAGTCATAAGCTTTCTTGCCTCATCTGACTTTGAATCCCGATCCTGAGATCTCAGCCTCCTGAGTACTTAGGATTACAAGGTGTAAAACACTTGGGCAAGAATGCTCATTTTCTGACAAATGCTTTTTCTGTATTAACTTAAATGGATTATCTGGGTTTCTCCTTCAGTTTTCTTGTGGCTTATTACACTGATAGTTCACCTTCTGAACTAACTTTGCATTCCTAGCTACTCAGGAGGCTGAGATCTGAGGACCGTGGTTAAAAGCCAGTTGGGGCAGGAAAGTCTGTGAGACTCTTATCTCCAATAAACCATTCAGAAAACTGTAAGTGTAGCTATGGCTCAAGTGGTACAGCTCTACCCTTGACAGCACCCAGGCCCAGAGTTCAAGCCCCACTATCAACAAAAAAGAAAAAGAGTCTCATGGACTTTCCTGCCTGGGCTGGCTTTGAACCTTGATCCTCAGATCTCAGCCTTCTAAATAGCTAGGATTACAGGCGTGAGCTACCAGCACCCAGCTTTTTTTTTTTAATGTCAGTCATGGGGCTTGAACTCTGGGTCTGGGCCCTGTCCCTGAGCTCTTCAGCTCAAGGCCAGTGTTCTACCACTTGAACCACACCATCACTTCCAGTTTTCTGATGGTTATTTGGAGATAAGAGTCTTACGAACTTTCCTGCCTGGTCTAGCTTTGAACCTCGATCCTCAGATCTCAGCCTCCTAAGTAGCTAGGATTACAGGCGTGAGACATTGGCACCCAGCTTCAGTTTTTGACTTTCAGTCTAGTTTTCTAACAACTGTTCTTGAGTCAGAGCAATTTACTGTACAGGTAAGTGTTTGACTGAAGGTTGTATGCAAGCCCTTGGTGATGGTTAGACTCACTGCTGAGTATATACTAGTTTCCTAGGGCTGCTGACAAAGTACCCAAAAATGAATAACTCAAGAGAGATTTATTCTCTGAGTTCTGGATGTTCCAAATCTGAAATAAAGGTGTTGACTGAAGATCCTAGGGAAAAATTCTTCCTGATTCTTCCTAGCTTCTCCTACTCAGTCTAATCTATGTCTGGCTTAGGACTGTTATAAGCAATACCTTACACTCCACTCTGATGGCTTGAGTGAGCAAAGCTAGTATCTGTTGCACAGTTACTGTGATCTTATAGGAACCTTTAGGGGGCTTTTTCCCCCTCTGATTTTGATCTACTGAGCTTTTCATTGCCTGGCCTTTTGCTTGTTGCTAAATATTTTGGGATCTATATGATAAATGACCCGTTGTTTTGTTTGAAACAGGGTCTGCTATGTAATCCAGACTGTCTTCAAGCCTCAGCCTCAGACTACAGGAATGCATTACCATAGTCAGGCATAACATCCACTAATCTCTACCTTTGGTTCTAAGTAAGGTGAAATCCCTTGGGCAGAGGGGACTTCCTATGTGCCTCTCTGGCCTCTTCAGCAGAGTTTGTGTTGCTACTGGGAGTAGGCACAGCCTGCTTTCAGAGCTATTTCCCAATGTGTGAGTGGGAGCTCTGGCAGGATACTGGCATGTCTGGAACAGAGCTACTCTAGAAGCTAGGATGGGGAAGGAATTTCTGTATGTAACACAGGTGGGGTATGCTGCTGCTTTCACTTTGGAATGATATCACAGAATGGCAGTTTAGGTCCTTTTGAACCTAAACTATTAGCCACAAGTTCAAAAATACTTTTTTCTTTTTTGGTCAGTCATGGGGATTGAACTCTGGGTCTGGGCACTGTCCCTGAGCTCTTCAGCTCAAGGCAAGTGCTCTACCACTTAAGCCACAGCGCCACTTCTGGTTTTCTGGTGGTTAATTGGAGATAAGAGTCTCAGACTTTTCTGCCCAGGCTGGCTTTGAACCTCTATCTCAACCTCCTCAGTAGTTAGGATTACAGGCATAAGCCACTGGCGCCTGGCTTAATATTGTTTAAAAAACAATTTTCTATACTGGAAGTGTAACTCAGAGGTAGAGTGCATGCATGAGATGCTAACACATGAAAGCATTAAAAAAATTTTTTTTCCCTCTAATTGGTAAAAAAAAAATTGACACATTTCTTCTTTTACTATTTTACAAGCAGAACATTTCTACCTCAGTTTTAATACGTAAATTTAAACTTTTCTTCTAAAAGTGATTGCATACAATTAAAATTTAAAGCTACTTACAAGGAATATTTTAAAGCTACTTACAAGGAATATTTTAAAGCTACTTACAAGGAATATTTTAAAGTGTCATCTAGTTCCATGATAGCAGCCTGGTTCCCACAACGGTAACAGTAATTGGGTGCACTAAAAATAGTAACCACATTCCGATCATGGCACCAATTGTATCCCTGCAACATTAAAAAAAGTGAACATCTCAATATAATAAGGATCCTGACATATAAAAATTAAGCTCAAAAACTGTAATATTTTCTGTAGATATGTAGCCATTTATGTTAAGTGGTGTCCATATTTTAACTGTAGTCTTTCTTACTCTGTATTAAGACCTTAGTTACAGTACATATTTAAATTTCCCCCACAAAGATGACCTGTTTTTCATTTTGCCTTGTGCCTCAAGGTTGGCCTGAAATTTAAATATCCAGGATGGTCCTGAACTCATAATCTTCCTGCCTGAGTTTCCAAAATGCTAAGATTACAGGTATGGGCCACTGTGTTATGCCTAGCTTTCAAGTTTTGCTTTAAATATAATGAAATTACTAAGGTAAATGCAAATTTAAATTTTTTTTTCCTAGGAAACCAGGTAAGTTTTTTTTTTTTTTTTTTTCCAGTCGTGGGGCCTGAACTCTGGGCCTGGGTGCTGTCCCTCAGCTCTTCAGCTCAAGGCTAGCACTCTACCACTTGAGCCACAGCGCCACTTCCGGCTCTTTTCTTTTTTGCTTATGTGGTGTTGAGGAATTGAACCCAGGGCCTCATGCATGCATGGCAAGCGCTCTACCACTGAGCCACCTTCCCAGCCCCACTAGGTAAGTCTTATGGACTTTTCTGCCCAGGCTGGCTTCAAATCTCTACCCTCAGATCTCAGCTTCCTGAGCAAGGAGGATTACAAGTATGAGCCACCAGCTTCTGATTTATTTATGTTGGTCATGGGGCTTGAACTCAGGGCCTGGGCTCTATCCCTGAGCTTTTCTACTTAAGGTTAGCATTCTACCACTTTGAGCCATAGCTCCATTTCTAGTTTTCTGGTAAGAGCCTCAGATTTTCCTGTCTAGGCTGGCTTTGAACCTTGATCCTTAGATCTCAGTCTCCTAAGTAGCGAAGATTATAGGTGTGAGGCATCAGCACCTGGCAAATATTTTGAATGATGCCCTTTACCTTGAAGCCTATTCTGACCCATATTATTAGTCATATTTGGGTAATTATCTACTTGCCATTTTCCCCTACCTCTAGATTGCTAGGATATTATGTATGCTCCAATTTGGGAAGTCTTGAGTCTTTTAGGCAAGTAAAAATCTTATTAGCCCATTTACATTTCTTTCTTTCTTTCTTTCTTTTTTGCCAGTTCTGGGGCTTGAACTCAGGGCCTGGGCACACTATTCCTGAGCTTCTTTTGCTCGAGGCTAGCACTCTAGCCACAGCACCATTTCTAGCCTTTTCTGTTTATGTGGTACTGAGGAATCGAACGCAGGGCTTCATGCATGCTTGGCAAGCACTACCACTAAGCCCCATTTACATTTCTTATAGTTACTGATACAGTTATTTTCACTTATGAATCTGTTACTTGTCATGCTTCCCTATCTCTTTTGCATTGGTGAAGATTGAAAAAAAAAAAAAAACAACCTGAAGCTACTCCCTACTGATTTGATTCATTGCAATGGAGAAGTCAGACACAATACCTGAGATGACCTTTTATATAACCAGCAAAGGGACAAGATTTTATTACCCCTTGGTTAGAAGCAATAAGAAGTTATCAGTCTATATGGTAGGCCTGCAAAAAATGCATATTGTTAATCTGTATTCATAAGGAAACAACTCTCAACTGAGTCTTCTTTTTTTGGTTGGTCATGGAGCTTGAACTTGGCCTGGGCTGTCCCTCAGCTCTTCAGCTCAAGATTAGTGCTCTGTCACTTGAGCCAAAGTGCCACTTCTGGCTTTTTCTGCTTATGTGGTGCTGAGGAATCAAACCCAGGGCCTCATGCATGTGAGGCAAGTACTCTACCACTGAGCCCACCTTCCCAATCTGAGTCTTTTTTATATAATAAATGGCCTCTACTATTCCAAAGTTTCAACATCATACAAAACAAGAAAAATTTGTGGGGTCACTTCCATATCAAAAGACAATGAATATAACTTGATCTTGCATTAATCATGAACACATGCAGAATTATAGTAATATACTAGTACAAACATCTTCACTGTGAGAATTATAATGTGGTTATAATAATGAGAGGTTACAGATAAAAAAAATATATATGGAAATTTAGGGGTAAAAATGCTTTATGTTGTTGTTGGTTGTGGGGCTTGAACTCTGGGCCTCAGCTCTTCAGCTCAAGGCAAGCACTCTAACCACTGATGGTTAACTGAAGATAAGAATCTCATGGACTTTTCTGCCTGGGGTGGCTTTGAGCCATCAGCGCACGGCATTTTTTTTTTTTTTTGTAGGTTGTGGGGCTTGAACTGTCTGGGAGCTGTCCCTGAGCTCTTCAGCTCAAGGCTAGCACTCTACCACTAGATCCACAGGGCCACTTCTGGTTTTCTAGTAGTTTATTTTAGGTAAGACTTTTGCAGACTTTCCTGCCTGGACTGGCTTTGACCCAAGATCCTCAGATCTCAGCCTCCTGAGTAGCTAGGATTACAAGTATGAGCCACCAGCGCCCAGCAGTGAAAATCTTTTGTGTGCAACAAATATGCAAATGGTTCATAAGGAAGTATAATGAAGGGGAGGGAGAAAAGAGAGGGAAAAATAAAGCAAATATAGCAAAATATTTGCAAATGAAGGATTTGAGCAAAGAACTTGGGGTATTATTTCCATAACTTCTCACATTTCAATTCCAATAGTGAGTTATAATTTCGTCCCATCTAACTAGAACTTATTTGTTAAAATAAATGAAAGTTTCTCCTTTCATCTGGTAATGAGAAAATGTTTATTAGTCATGAAGTGTTACTACAGACATCTTTATCTAAAATAAAGATCATCCTATATAAAAAGTACCCACCTCCATTACAAGCTGATGAGCACGAGAAACCAGTGTGAGACCGTTGGCATGGTTAAACGTTTCAGAAATGTCTTGTCCAAATGTATAGCCAGCACCTCGTGGTGAAATACCCCATCCACCACGATCATCTGGATCTGACCATAACAGATCACACATTGGGCCCTGCTCAAGAAAATTAAGTATATGAGTTTTAGCTGTTATATTTAACTAATTTAGTTTTCCTACAATGAAGCTGGATTTCTTATTTTAAAAAAAGTTTACCTCATGTGGAACTTCTTGTAAACGATCCAGAGCTCTTATATGATCCAGTGTATCTATGGATGGAGAGAGGCCACCATGGAGGCAGAATATCTTAGAAATTAAAAAAGAATATGCAGTTTAGTTTCTCTAACTGCTTAGTTAATGAAGTGTTGATGGTTACAAGTATTAGTCCTAAGAGCTCTTATTTTCAAAGTATTCACTGTGTTAACTTTACAATATAATGGAGAGGTAAACCTACATCCAACAGAACTGTTAACACTTAAATATATTCTTCTTATCTTTTTACTTTGTTATACGAGGTATGGGTCTCTCTGTCTCTCTCCTCTCCTCTGCTCTCCCTTCTCCTTACCAGCCTTACCTCCCTCCTGTGGTGCAGGACCTTCTGTGTGCTAGGCAAGTAATGTAACAATTGGTGCTGTCCCCAGGCCTATGCTAGGTGTTTTACTGTTTTCTCCCATTTTCTGAAGAGTAGTTCCCCCCCAGACACTCCCCCCACCCCCCACCGTCTTGTAACCTATCATCGTCACATTTCTGGCTGATACTGCTGATATATAATGCTTTCTCTTGAGGCAACTACTTGTTGGTTACAAAAGTTTTTCAGTTTTCTCAGATTTTTCAGAGTATATATAATCATATTATTTGCAAAAAAAAAACAACCCAAATTCTTTTCAGTGTATTCATTTAATTCCTTTGATTACACAGCACACTGGCTAGGACTTCTAAAACAAAATTATTATTTTTTTTGCCTTTTGTAACTACATATTTTTATTTTGTAACTACATGTTTTATCCTCTAGAGATTCTAAATCAGAAAATACAAATTTTAGTGAGCATTTTTCTTCTGATTCTTTTTCTTGTCAGTCATGGGGCTTGATCTCAGGCTTGGGCTTAAGGCTAGTGCTCTACCACTTTGAGCTACAGCATCACTTCTGGTTTTCTGGTGGTTAATTGGAGATAAGAATCTCATGGGGGGAAAAAAAATCTCATGGGGACTTTTCTGTCCATGCTGGCTTTGAACTTCAATCCTCAGATCTCAGCCTCCTGAGTAGCTATGAATATAGGTGTAAGTCACTGGTGCCTGGCTATTGTTTTGTTTTTGAGACAGATTTCTCCTATATAACCAGGCTAGCCTTGAACTCATGATTTTGTCTCAGCCTCTTGAGGGCTAGGATTATAGGTGTACACTACGCTCAGTTTTTGTCCCCTAATTAAAAATTGTAAATTTTTATTACTAAGGCATTGTACAGAGAAGTTACTGTCAGATAATGATTACATTACTTTTTGGACACTATCACCCCTTCCTTCACTTACTCCCAGTTACTCCCTCCTTTCCCTGCCCTCAAGCTGCATGGTTCATTCTCAACATAGTGTCTACTAAGTACCATGCCTACATTTGTTCATCTTTCCTCCTTCCACTTCTGCACAACCCTTGCCCTCCCAATGACAGAATAAAGAACAAACATAACATGGGGTTTCCATTTCCTAGAATTTCTTTTGATAAGTAGTATTTTAAGTGGCATCACACCTTTGGGTTCCTCCCCTACGAGTATTTTCCTTTAGTCTCACTGTTTGTGTATGAATGCCAAGAAGTCCTGTTTATCATGCTCTCCTAACTTTTTAAAGAGAAGGCCACTTAAATTTTGCTCAAAATTTAGTCTATGAAAATATCTTTATACTATTAATGTCATAGTTGTTCTTTGTAATAAATTTAGATAATGGATATTAGATTTTTCTCAAATGATTTTGGCTAGATTTTGTCTTTCTGTGCTTGCCAGGTATGCTGAGTTGCTGTTAATACTAGACATACAGCTGAAGAATTGTTTTGCTTGTTGAGACCTCATCTCATTGTGTATTCTAGTCTGGCCTAGAACTCTCAACCCTCCTGCCTTTACACTAAAGTGCTGAGATTCTGGTCCGCATCACCACATTTGCTATAGCTGGAATTTCGAAACTTTCCATCTTTTTCCAAGCTCTAGAATAATTTATTATGTTCATTAAAAGTTTAATGGATCTGGCCTATTATAAATACTCAGACCTGATTTTTGGGGTACCAATATACCCAAAACTTTATGTCATTAGGCACTTTTATATTGTTCAGATAGTTTGAATACCTATTAGTTTACTTAATTTCTGAAGTATATAAGGTCTCAGTAGCAGCATTTAAAAAATAACCTAGGGTTGGGAATGTGGTAGAGTGCTGCCTTGGATGCTTGAGACCCTGGGTTCATTCCTCAGCACCACATAAGCAGAAAAAGCCAGAAATGGCTCTGTGGCTCAAGTGGTAGAGTGCTAGCTTTTAGCTGAAGAGCTGAGGGACAGTGCCCAGGCCCAGAGTTTAAGCCCCATGACAGACAAAAACCAAAACCCAAAAAACCTAACACAAATGCAGTATACACTGGCTGTTTTGTTTCTTAAATGGACAGTGATAACAGATTGAATGACTTGGGGGATGCACACAGGTAAGGAAAAATAGGCTACCTTTCTAAAATAATTTGTCCATTAAGTTTAATGCTAATTAAGACAATATTGCTTTAAACATTTAAAAGCTAATTAAATTAAACATTTTAAGGCAGGTGCTGATAGCTCATGCCTGTAATCTTAGCTACTCAGGAGGCTGATTTGAGGACAGAGGTTCGTAGCCAGCTCAGGCAGGAAAGTGCACCCTCCCCAAAAAAGCTAGAAGTTGAGTTGTGGCTCAGTGGTAGAGTGCTAGCTTTGAGCAAAAGAAGCTCAAAGGCAGGACACCAGTGGCTCACTCCTGTAATCCTAGCTACCTAGGAGGCTGAGATCGGAGGTTGCAGTTCAAAGACAGCCTGGGCAGGAAAGTCCATGAGACTCTTATCTCCAATAAACCACCAGAAAACCGGAAGTGGCACTGTGGCTCAAGTGGAAGAGTGTTCACCTTGAACTGAAGAGCTCAGGGACAGCGCCCAGGCCCAGAGTTCAAGAACCAATACTGACCAAAAAAAAAAAAGAAAAGTTCAAATACAACATCCAGGCCCTAAATTTAAACCCCAGTAGTAGTGTGTGTACATGAACGCACATGCACGCACACACACACATTTTAAAAAACAAATTTAGGGGCTGGGAAGGTAGCTCAGCGGTAGAGCGCTTGCCTTGCAAGCATGAGGCCCTGGGTTCTATTCCTCAGCACCACATAAACAGAAAAAGCCGGAAGTGGTGCTGTGGCTCCAGTGGTAGAGCGCTGGCCTTGAGCTGAAGAGCTGAGGGACAGCGCCCAGACCCAGAGTTCAGGCCCCATGACCGGCAAAAAACAAAACAAAACAAAACAAAAATTTATGCAGTCATTCATATTGACAAATCTAGGTATTATTATCTGAAAGTATTATTCTTTTTAATTATTAGACTTGCCAAAACCATGGCTTGGAAAGTGTGGACTTCACTATTATACAAAAACAATTATAACAAAGATGATTATAACCAAAGTATATCCTGACCAACAGACCAAAAGGCTAATGTATCTTTTGACTATTCTGGACTTTTATAATTTAAGAACTGCAGTTCTTAATGTTTTATATTTGAATTTAATTATTTCCTGTTCAGTGAAACCTCCAGATATTAAAATAGCAAATGTGCAGATTATTATTATTTTTTTTTTTGGGTCTGGTCGTGGGGCCTGAACTCTGGGCCTGGGCGCTGTCCCTCAGCTCTTCAGCTCAAGACTAGCGCTCTACCACTTGAGCCACAGCGCCACTTCCAGCTTTTTTCTTTTTGCTTATATGGTGCTGAGGAATCCAACCCAGGGCCTCATGCATGCAAGGCAAGCGCTCTACCACTGAGCCACCTTCCCAGCCCTAAATATGCAGAATTTTTCTTATACTTTTCAATGTTTTATTGTATATCTGGCATACTATGGATAGAAACACTCAATTCTTGGGGAAAAGATACAGTATCTTGCCTTGCCACTCACTATACATCAATCATTTGTTTATGCTATTTAATCTATAAGAAACAGGTTAGCATATTCTTTGGCTAAAAGATTACAAAGCTATTTGAGAATGGTGGAATTTGTTGTTCAAAGCTTATCCAATTCTCTGTTCTGAAATTTTTAGTTTTAAGAAAAGGCCAAAGAGATGCAGAAGCAAAGATCATGTAAATGGAGACCCTCCTACATTTAATCTCCCCCATGAAGACACAATCACACACATACTCACTTGTCCATCTACTAAAGCTGTAAGTGGAAGATAATCAAATAGATCTGTAAAGTATTTCCAAACATTGGCATTTCCATACTTCCGTAGACATTCATCATAAAAGCCATAAACTTGGGTAATTTGTCGGCTTTCATGATTTCCTCTCAATATTGTAATGCGTTCAGGATATCGAACCTGCAAGATATGAAAAAGAAGCCCAGGCACAATCATATCTTCACTGGTAATGCTAAGAACATTACCTTCTGATCCACTTTCTTCACTGGCTCTTTGGTCCACTAAGTTAAATGTATTTTTTAGAGTAAAAGATTCTCCTTCAAACCAAATCTCATTAACCAAAGCCAGCTGCTGGCTGCTCATGCCTGTAATCCTAGCTACTCAAGGATACTAGATCTGGAAGACTATAGTTCAAAGCCAGCCAGGATAGAAAAGTATGCAAGACTTTATGTCCAATTAACCAGCCAGACGGGAGGCCTGGCTCAAGTGATAGAGGCTCATCTGTGAGTTAACAAGCAAGCCTACTGAGAGAGCACGAGGCCCTGAGTTCAAGTACATATACACACACCTTCAAAACCCATAATCCCCATCTTGACAAAAATAGACTATTGCTAAATCTGAGTAAAGTTTCAAATATATTACCAACCGCCTCCACAAATGGGGACTGAACCCAGGGCCACATGCATGCTGGGCAATCATTGTACTTCTTTTATTTTGTGTCAGTCGTGGGGCCTAAATTCTGGGCCTGGGCGCTGTCCCTCAGCACTCCTCAGCTCTTCAGCTCAAGGTGAGCACTCTCACTTGAGCCACAGCTTGCCACTTCCAGTTTTCTGAGTGGTTTATTGGAGATAAACTTTCCTGCTTGGGCTGGCTTTGAACAACGATCCTCAGATCTCAGCCTCCTGAGTAGCTAGGATTACAGGTGTTAAGCCACTGGCGCCTGGCTTCATTGTACTTCTTAAACTATGCTCTATCACTAAATATTTCCTTTTACAACAAAACAGAACATAATGGTTAAGATACTATACTTTGAATATTCCTAATGTAAAACTCTTAAAATCTCAACTCCAAAATCTGAAACTTTTTAAGTACCAAAAAATTCTACACCATGAAATCATGCTTCATTCACAAAATTATTAAAAGCATTAAATAAAAATCACTCCAGGGCTGGGTGCATGCATGAGGCCCTGGGTTCGATTCCTCAGTACCACATAAGCAGAAAAAGCCAGAAGTGGTGCTGTGGCTCAAGTGGTAGAGTGCTAGCTTTAGCTGAAGAGCTGAGGGACAGCGCCCAGACCCAGAGTTCAGGCCTCAGAATCGACAAAAATCACTCCAAGTTATGTGTGTAAGGAGTTTATTAGTTAAAAATGTAACTGGCAACAAGTATGAAAAAGCATCAGATTCTACTAAGTGACCATAACGCTACAGATGCACACTTCAATACACAAAAATTTACTAAGCATTTCTTATATGATCTACATTAAACTTGGTTTTATAAAGCTTACCAGAGTCATACAAGTATGGTTTCTGTTGTTTAGGGACTAGTGTTGTTAAGGAGATATATAAACAATAAAAAGACATATAAAAAGATATATAAACAATAAAAAGAAACTGAAAGAAGTAGAAGGAAAATGGCCAAAATGACTGAAGGCTTCATGATGAAGAGACTTAGTTTAGACTGACAGGAATTAAGAAATTTAGAGACAGACCAGGCACTGGTTACTCATGCCTATAATCCTAGCTTTTCAGGTAACTGAGGCCTGAGGATCGTGGTTCGAAGCCAGGCTTGTGACACTGTGGCTCAAAGTGGTGGAGCCCTAGCCTTGAGCAAAGAGCTCAGGGACAGTGCACAGGACCTGAGTTCAAGCCCCTTGTCTGACGAGGGGGGGGGGGGGGGGAAGGGGGGAGAGGGAAAGAGAGGAAGACAGACAGAGAGAGATCGCAAGAGCAGAAAAATTCAGACAAAGTAATAATTTTATGGGTACACTAGACCAGGAAATAAACAGAGAGTCTAGTGCACTGAATAAGAAAATTCTTTGATGTGAGGCAAAACATTTTTGCTATCTACTACTGGCAGATAAATTTAGACTATAGAAGATAGCCAAGGAGTTTGCGATTCTATAAGCAATATGGAATCACTGAAGAGGCTGGGGACACAGAAGTAAGATATAGTTGTTAAAAAAAAGAGAGATTTAATCCAGCTGTATATGCAAGGTGGTTTAGGGATTAGATCTTGGAGGTAGAAATGAAAATTACCTACTATAATAAAGTGTAAGGTGATAAATGTGTAAGGCATTGAACAGAAAGGCACAAACAGAGATAAATTTTTCAAGGTAAGAATCTTTTTGGTGGTGCTAGGGTCTGAACTCAGGTTCTTACATTTGCTAGGCAAGGTGTGGTAACATGCCACACCTTTACTCACCCTTTTTGCTCTGGTTGAGATAGGGACTCATTTTTTTCCCAGGCCAGCATAGACTTCAATCATCTTAAACTCAATACCAAAGATAAATAACTAAGTCAAATGTAATTTCAAGACTTCAGTTATGCACAACTTTGGGAATGATACATTTGTCAAAAGCAGAGAAGTTTAGTGCATAATTTTAAAAAGAAAAGAATAAATTTAAAAAGAGAATGTCTTTAATTGTACCTTTAATGCTACAAGAAGAGTCACAGTCTCCACAGAGTAATAACCTCTGTCTACATAATCACCCATGAATAGGTAGTTTGTGTCTGGTGATTTTCCACCGATTCTAAAGAGTTCCATAAGGTCATGGAATTGGCCATGCACATCTCCACAGACAGTAACAGGACAACGAACTTCTTGCACATTTGATTCTTTTGTTAAAATTTCCTTAGCCTGTTGGAAAAATAAAATCAACAATTAAAAAAAATTTTATCACAAATTTAAAGGTGATAAAAGGTGACTAAACTGAGATCTGAAGGGGAAAAAAAAAAGAAAATCTAAAGACTTAATTATGCCTTAGAAAACATAAAACAACTCATCACAATTGGGAAGCACTTTCCTAATATGCTGTAATAGAAATGGCTAATAATGTGTACAAAGAGGTGATCATACTGAAACCGCTGATGGGAATATGCTACTGATGGGAATATAATATGGTGCAGCTACTATGGAAATGTGACAGTTGTTCCAAAGTTAAACTAAAAATTACTATATATTTTACCAAATTCCACTCCTAGATACATATATATATATTTAAAAGGAAATTAAAAGTCATTTACACATTTCCTGGCAGCATTATTTGTAATAGCCAAAACACAGAAACAACGCAAATGTTCCCATCAATTCATGAATAAAATAATATCCACCCAATAGAATATTAACTAGCAATAAAGCCTTTTGGTTTGCTCCGTGTGTGTCCTGGGGCTGCGCCCTCAGCTGAGTCTACCCGTAGTCCGGCCTGCAGCCCCACCATGCCTGCCAACCTCAGCCAAGTGGTACAGGCGTTTGAGCTTGCAGGAAGTGGACGAGTCACCCCAGCACCCTCTGCGGGTGTCCCTACACGGGGGTGGAGGTGGACCATCTAGGCAAAGTGCTGACGTCCACCCAGGTTAAGAACAGACCCAGCAGCAGTAAGTGGGAAGGTTGTGATTCTGGGAAACTGTACACCTTGGTCCTGACTGACCCGGATGCTCCCAGCAGGAAGGATCCCAAATACAGGGAGTGGCACCACTTCCTGGTGGTCAACATGAAGCCAACGATATCAGCAGTGGGACCGATTATGTGGGCTCCGGGCATCCCAGTGGCACAGGCTCCATCTGGACGAGCAGGAGAAACTTCTGAAGTGTGACGAGCCCATTCTCAGCAACCGCTCCGGGGACCACCGTGGCAAGTTCAAGGTGGTGGCCTTCCGCAAGAAGTACCACCCGGGCTCCCCGGTGGCTGGGACGTGCTACCAGGCCATGGGATGACTATGTCCCCAAGCTGTACAAGAAGCTGTCTGGGAAGTAGGGAGGCTCAATTCATAAGCTCTACCCCCCACCAGCCCTGCAAGTGGGGTCCTTGGGCACCGATGCCAGTAGATGTCCCTCTCCCTTGCTCGGGCAACTCCTGGGCTGTCCATAGTAGCACAGGGTGGCTCTGTCTGCTGCCTGTCCTTTATGCTCCTATTGTTGTGTTGATCATGTTTAAATTCCTTTTTGGGGGTGGCATTTGGAATTGTAATGGAGGTACCTTGTTAACAACTAGCAATCCAGAATCTAAAGAAAATTCCAGTTAAAAAAAGACTGGGGGGTGGGGGGGTTGTGTGTGAAAGAAAAGGGAAGGGAGTCGTTGTCACTGTCTGTGAGATGCTGCCTGCAACTTCTCCCCCACAACTTCTCCACAGGGACCTGGCTCTCATGGCCGGCTCCTGGCTGGCCCCTACAGCTCTCTGTAGCTGACTAGGTGTCTACCCTAGTCAGGGGGCCTGGCCCACTAATATGGAGCTAGAGGACAGGTGGGTTGGAGTCCTTAAATCCTTGAGGGTTAAATTGTTCACTGGTCGTTGTTCTGGAGTTGCTTAGTGTTACTTCTGCCGTTTGTTCATCACTGAATGAAGTAGAAATGTTGGATGATACAGAAAAAAAAAAAGGAAGCAGTCTTTCACAAATGGCCACATAATGTGCAGTTCCATTTACATGCCGTGTCCAGAACAGGCAAATCTACAGAGGTGGAAAGATTATGGTTGCCTGAGCCTGGGAAGTGGAAGGCTCGAGTGTCTAGGGTCTACCAGGTTAGGGATGTGGTTTTCTTTGAGGTAAATGGAAACCTTTTAATATTGTAATGGAAATGAAGGTATGTGGATGTACTTATTCAGTGCTACTGAATCATGTAGTCTAAGTGAACTGCATGCTACAGCTGGAATATTATCTCAATAAAGGTGTTGTTCTGTTTTAGTGTGCCAGTCCTGGGGCTTGGGTGCTGTCCCTTAGCTTTTTTTGCTTAAGACTAGTGTTAGTATGCTATCATTTGAGCCAGAGTTCCACTTCTGGTTATTTGGTAGTTTAGTGGAGACTTTCCTGTAAAGTCTGGATTCAAATTGCGTACCTTAGATCTCAACTTCCTGAGTAGCTAAGATTATAGGCATGAGGCAGCTTAAATCTTATTATGGGAACCCTAGGACCCCATGGGAACTATGACTCAGCATATGGAACATGCTGGATGCTATTGGAAAACCACCGTTGTGTGATGGCTGTGTCTGACCTTCTGCCATAATTCTGTCAAAAGGCAGAAATGAATGATTGTGTGTAGTTATTTTACTGCTTTCTGGTATCCTGTTCTCTATCTCATGGAATTGCCCTTTTGATCTGTTCCCTTAAGCTAGCCCTGGGGCAACCCAACCTCAAAAAAGCAGTAACAGACCCACACATGTTCAGTTTAACCATGCCTTTCAGTTAAACTCACTCACTTCCTTGTCCTACATTATTGAAATGACACCTCATGGTCACTTCTTTATCTGTCACCCCAGTATCTGCTGGAAGCAACTGGCAGTTTATAAGCTTAAAATAGATCAATGAGCCGGGAGCTGGTGGCTCACACCTGTAATCCTAGCTACTCAGGAGGCTGAGATCTGAGGATTGCAGTTCAAAATCCAGCTTGGGCAAGAAAGTCTGAGGGACTCTTATCTCCAATTAACCACCAGAAAACTGGAAGTGGTGCTGTGGCTAAAGTGGTAGAGTGCTAGCCTTGAGCAGAAGAGCTGAGCGACAGCGCCTAGACTCAGAGTTCAAGACACACGACTGACCTCCCCCCTCAAAAAAAGATCAATAAGAAAACAATTCTGAACCAGTCTTACATAAACATTTACCGATTCAAAAGCTAACTTGCAAATTTTCTACCCCCATCTCTACCTTTCAACTACTTTATTATAATTACTTTATGGTGTTGAATTGGAATATACCATTAGGAAGCACCAAAGTGCAGAATTTATGTATTAATACTGGCAAGTTAAATGCAAACCATTAACAGCTAACCTGTCTTGAAAATTTTCTTAATAGAAAAAAAGAGCTCAGAAACAGGAAGAAAATTAAAAAAAAAAAAGTCTATGTATTGCTCAAAGTTTCTGTTAGGTAGGCTGCTTTACTGTGTGTGTGTGAGAATACTCATGTTTGAACTCAGGGACTTGCACTTGCCAGACAGAGGTTCTGGAACCAGAGCCATGTCTTATCTCTCAACCTCTCTTTGCTTTTATTTTTAGAATAAGGCCTTGTTTCCTTCTTACTCCTCTCTCAGGGTGGACCTATTTATAATTTTTTCTAGGTGGGATGACAGGTGCTACATGATGGCACCCAGATATTGGTTGAGAGGAATACTCCAAACGTCTTCCTGTGCTGACTTGAAATGCAATCTTCCTGATGTCCACGTCCAGAGTAGTTAGGATTACAGGTGTGCGCCACTGGTGACTAGCATTTCTTAATATGCAAAATTCCAATGATTTATCAAGTTTGCAGGTTGTGATGAATTAGAAACAAAATTACACAAAGGAAGTGGAACTACAAGGGACATGTAAAGTGACAGGAAGAAACCACCAAACTGCAAAAATGACATGGCCATTAAAGTCAAAACTCATGAGGAAACTTCAAGTGGGACCCAGTTGAGTTGGACTGATGGGAATAGCATTTTTGGGAGAAATGGTGCTTTTAAGAGCATTTAAAGGGGCTGGGAAGTTGGCTCAGTGGTAGAGTGCTTGCCTTGCATGCCTGAGGCCCTGGGTTCGATTCGGGTTCGATTCCTCAGCACTACATAAGCAAAAAGAAAAAAGCCGGAAGTGGCGCTGTGGCTCAAGTGGTAGAGCACTAGCCTTGAGCTGAGGGACAACACCCAGGCCCAGAGTTCAGACCCCATGACCGGACCCCTCTCCCCCCCCAAAAAAAAAGAGCATTTAAAAGCACACATTTGGCCGGGCACTGGTGGTTCACGCCTGTAATAATCCTAGCTACTCAGGAGGATGAGATCTGAGGATTGCGGTTCAAAGCCAGCCCTGGCAGGAAAGTCCATCAGACTCTTTTTTTGGGGGGTCTGGTCATGGGGCCTGAACTCTGGGCCTGGCCGCTGTCCCTCAGCTCTTCAGCTCAAGGCTAGCACTCTACCACTTGAGCCAGAGTGCCACTCCCGGCTTTTTTCTTTTTGCTTATGTGGTGCTGAGGAATCGAACCCAGGGTCTCATGCATGCAAGGCAAGCGCTCTACCACTGAGCCACCTTCCTAGCCCTCCATTAGACTCTTATCTCCAATAAACCACTCAAAAACCAGAAGTGGCGCTGTGTAGTAAGAGTACTTGCCTTGAGCTAAAGAGCTCAGGGACAGCGCCCAAGCCCACAGTTCAAGCCCCATGACCCACAAAAAAAAAAAAAAAAAAAGCACACATTCTTGGACTAGGAGTGTGGCTTAGTAGTAGTGCTTGCCTATCATGAATGAAACCCTGGGTTGGATTCCTCAGTACCACATAAACAGAAAAGGCCAGGGGCTGGGAAGGTGGCTCAGTGGTAGAGCGCTTGCCTTGCATGCATGAGGCCCTGGGTTCGATGCCTCAGCCCCACATAAGCAAAAAAAAAGCTGGAAGTGGTGCTGTGGCTCAAGTGGTAGGGCACTAGCCTTGAGCTGAAGAGCTGAGGGACAGTGCCCAGGCCCAGAGTTCAGGCCCCACAACTGGACCCCCCCCCCCTCCAAAAAAAGAAAAAGCCAGAAGTGGCACTGTGACTTTAAGGGTAGAGTGCTAGCCTTGAGCAAAGGAAGCTCAGGAACAGAGTTCAACCCCTCTCCCCCCCCAAAAAAAGCACACATTCTTAAGTTTCTGCATGCATAATTCAAATTCCTATTGCTCTATATGTATCTTTGTCAACTAATATTCTTGCC